GGTTTTCACTCATGAACAGGTAACAGCTCAGAAAGTGGACGTATGAACGAGTTCACCGCAACGCGTTTGATGGCACCATGCCAAACACGCTTTAATCGAGATGCTCCATTTGCGCCGCTGCTGGCCACGCAGCTCGTCCAAATCAACAAGTAAACTAGTGGGCGGTCGCTTTTGGGGGCGGAGTTCGAAGTCCTGCTCAGCAACCAGCGCACCTTTCGTTGTGAAAGCGCTACACTCGCTTCCTGGCAGCCAAGTAACTGCTTCGTGTGGTGCATATGCTTCCCGATGCGCTCCCTTTTTATCGTAATCGCTGCTTTCAAGGGAATAGCGGGGAGGTCACGAAATAGGTGAAGCCTGACTATCCTCAGTATGAAAATAATTCGGTCTAAGAAAAGATAACTCTGGAAAAAATAAGGTTTTAAAAAAAAACAAGGTTCCTTGGCACCAATCGTCATCTATCGTCATTCGTCTCTGGAATTAGTTGTCTAACGCATATCTTCTGCTCTCTCGGGCCCTCTCACAATGCCCAAGCTAACCAGGAAACCAATCAAATTTAGTCAACCCAACCAATCGAAATGAGATGTATATGTCTATACGCGCCACGCTTTACTCAAATCTGCCTTCCTTATCTGTAACCTCTTGTGTTGGAATGATGAGGCAGAAAAGCGCAGCGGCAGATTTGGACTCAGAGGCAAGAAATCGGGTCATGGGTCGACTCCTTGGTAAGCTTACTCATTTGCCGTTTCGCAGAATACAGCTAGGAAGATTCCTGATAGTCTAGACCAACGTATGTATTTGTGAGTAGCTATCTGTGCAATAAAATCTAAAGTGCGCAATCAAGGCGAATTTGGCCGAATGACGCTCCTTAGTGCTCTAGGCCCTGTCTGCGCAGGTGCTAGGACAATTGTGCGTGCTGTACAAATGAGACAGTCATAATCATGGGAGTCGGTCTCCTCATTTCGAGCCAAATTTTCTGGCAATCTGGAGATTTGTCGAGTCAACCTCGCAAAAAACTGAGGCAATCCACGAAGTCCATCATACACTACAAAAGGCTGGTGTATCTGGAATAAACTTTTGATGAAAAGGCGAAGGTTGTGTTCGGCTTGCACGTCTACATCATCTTAGCATCTGCAAGGCAGGGTGTCCCATAAATATTGCAACACATTCTGAGCTTCAATTGTGTGGGTGTCCGTAGACCTTTTCCCTAAGGTTGGCATACCTTCAACTTCCTATACCTCTTGTGAATAACCTTGCCAAAGTGCACGGACTTATTAGATTCGTTCTGCATCTCATGGTGCAGCTAAACCTCGATAGAGGTCCTAATCCTTCATACAGCTAGGTCGGTCATCCGGTGACGAACATCGCGCTTCCTTTGGATTGTGCTGCCTACTGTGTATTGAAGCAAAGACCAATGGAGGCAGTCTTTGTTGCAACTGCCCCACAAGTTCTGACATCTATGAATCTACACGGAAAAGGATGAAGAAGCGAAACGACTGCCCTTTTTGTTTTTTATTCAGTATCCGGATTAGCTCGAGAACGGTGAGAAAGAACGCTGGAATTACTATTATACAGTCATGCTGCGAGAGGTGGACAGAACTGGTATAGTCCACAATAAGTTGCATGAGCACCACTGCTCAATCCAACAGGAGGAGCACAGCAGAGACAAAAAGTTCAAAGAGCTGGTGTCAAGGGCCCAATGTGGCGATCACATGGACACCGTTTTCATCGACGAAAAAATTTCTCACATGGAGCGAAGCTACAATCTTCGAACTCCGAGGATGCCCGCACGAGAAGTCAATAAGAGTGAAAGGAATATTCGCCACAAGCAGCGGCCAATCTTATGTCAGATGTTCGGCGCAAGGGGGTCTCAATCACGGTCGTTCACCACAAACTGTCTGTTGAAAAGCGAATGAAACTCGATACGGACCTAGCTAGCGAATGCTTCAGTGCACCTTCTGTTACTAAGGTATCTATCTTCTCCAAGGAGGAATGACGTTCTTTCAAAGGTAACCAGCTTGGGCAAAAATTGTTTAGGACTGGTCTCATGATACTGTTCCCGATTTCACATCCTCAAACAAATGGCTCTCATATCTCTCGATTTCAACCTGCTGGACCATCCTATTTGGGCTGTATAGGGGACAGAGCCTGCACTAAACAATGCATATAGAGAGCTGAAGCCTTTTCTCTAGAAAGTTTCGAAGAAGGCACTCCAGGATGCCATGCGGGAAACACTAGAGTTGTGTTCGAAGCAACTGGGAGCCATACTCACAGCGACAGGGACTTATCGAATAAATGTCATTCCTTTCAACATCTTAATGACTGACTAAGAATTATGTATGTGTGACCACAAGATACGTTCACTTTGAGAGAAGTTACAAGTTGAGAAACGTGTGGCAATGTTTATGGGACATCCTGTTTCCTAATATATATCCCCCTCTCCTCATCGTACAGAATTGGTCAACTTTAGAATTGGAGTTTGGAGTGGTAGTTCCATCACTGCTCCTTTTTTTCTCTACTGGATTTGCGGCTGGAATTTCGATCAGTACTCCATAACCTGCGCTAAATTTCTCTGGAAGGCTTCGAAATAAGAACTTTTCTGGAAGAATTTTGTATCAGGACTCTAGAATTAAATCCGCCATATTCGGTAACTTTTTCACTTTAGTTTGGTCTGAAAGCATCGAAATTTTTCCAAAAGAATCTGTTTGCTCGTGCTCATTAGAGTACGAAGTGGTTAGAACTTCTGCTATGAGGTGTGTCATTCAATCGCCTGTGGTGTGCAGTCGCAATTATGAGTGAAAATCTGTCCTTCTTTGCTACTTTGCCATGCTTCGGTACCTTCGAATCTTGTAATGCTACTTGAGCCTACGACTCACCCCTTCCTATTGGCCGAATACGACCCCTTTGTTGATCTTTGCGGAACGAGCGGTTGACCCTGCCTACTACAAGTGTTTTTTTTTTTACCGGGAAGCGGCCGAATAAATTCGCAACGTCAAATGGCGTCAACACAAAGAACGAATGTCTATTTGTGATCAAAGCCGGATTCACCTCTACAGGCAAACTTCCAGAACAAATCAAGATTTTGATCTAACCTCGAAAAAGTGGAGTGGCCATGGGTTTTCAGCCTGTCATGCCGGTAGGCGTCCTGAACCCGACCAAACGCGGCACTAAAAACAATGAGTATAGCCTAAGAACGAAGGTCAAAGAAGGAGAAAATTGCATAGTTGCGAGACAGGCAGACCTCCTGGGGGGCAGGGTCAACGTACTCCGTTGGCAGTTCAAGCGACGACAGGAGTATGCCGAGAAGTGAACGTAGCACGGAGGACACAAGAGGGCCTGCGGAGTGGGTGAGAAGTGAATGCCGGCGCGCGGAGAGGAGCGGGAACATCCGGTCCAACCGTCGACTCATATCGTTCAACGAACGGTGAAACGCTGGGGGGCTGACTGACGCTCAACTGGCAGCGAAAGATTTGACCTCGGCGATCTAGCATGGCTCACTCCTGGCGCGATTGACGGGGTACGCCCAGAGTCGCATCAATGCGCAAATCAACGAGCAAGAACGTGGTCCCGTTTCCGGGGTTCGTAATCATTTCAGGGTTTTTTTTCCTCATCCTGCCAGGTCACTCTACGTTTTGGCCAATGGAGCTTAGCCTTTTGCATCGCAAATTCTAGCCTTAAATGGAACCTCGGGGTCCTTGCAAAGCTCACCCTTTAGGTAGGTTACGGAAAGTTACGCTCCGTTTACGAAGAGAGGCACGATTGTGAAACAGTTTGAAATCCCATATTGCCATCCTTGAGGAACCTACCTGGCGGCTATGGACTATGGGTCGCCTCGCTCTCACAGCGTCCAGTGTTATTTTTGAAGATTTTTCTTACTTCGGGAGATTAGGGCCAATTTGTTGAATTATGTCATCTCGTAGTTTATATGTTTTTTTTTTAGACCTGACATAGAATATGTAGCGTCAATGGAAAGCGAGTATCATGATCTATACCTTCAAGCACGAAAAATCATATGAAAATGTAGTTTCAGAAAAAAAAGTGGATATGACCGTGTGTAACATAATTTATCCTATCCTGTGTGGTATGCCCGTTACCCCCCCCCCCATCCAGAAGAGGCTCGTCGCGCGACAAGAAGGCGAGTCAGGGGACGTCCGCGCGTATTGTAGGGATTTCGCGTCAAGTTAAATAGAATGTTGCAATGTACGTCTTACATCGCTCACGCGGTGCGACTCGTCCGCGACTCTGCCTTCTTGCCGCGCGACGGGTCTAGGGGCGTACGGTATGCCACTCGTGGTAGATGAGGCTGCTATGAAAACATCTTGTCTTCCCTTCTCAGCCGTATCATCATAAGCTTTCGAATGCACTGTGAGCAGCGGTATTAAGGATCCTATTTGGCGGCTTCCTCTGCAACTAACCTTTCCCTTCAAGATAGAACTGGTGAGGAATGATGGGTTATCAGCGTTCTTCGTTATGGAGCGTTCATAGTTGGCGATCGTACGTGCGATTAGGCGATTAGGCGATTAGGCGAGTAGGCGATTAGGCGAGTAGGCGAGTAGGCGATAAGAGGATACGTATTGATTTGTTGCTCCGCCCATTGAGCGATCGCCTAATCGCCTACTCGCCTACTCGCCTACAACGTTCTATGGGCGGAGCAAACCAATCAATACGTATGTAGTCTTCCCGCCTAATCGCCTACTCGCCTGATCGCCTACTCGCCTAATCGCCTAATCTATACGTATATTTTTCATTATAGACTAATCGCCTAATCGCCTAATCGCCTAATCGCACGTACGATCGCCAACTCTGAACGCTCCATTACGGCCGATCCTCAGCTGTGGTGCAAGCAATCTAAGTGACAGTTTGTTATGAAGCAATTGAGATCACTTAGTCATCAGCGCCTATCCACCGATTTTCTAAATGAACATCCTACAATGGTATCTAATGTGTGATAAGACCGAATATAAAAGGGCTTCCTTGGTGAGCTAAACTCATTTCTACTAACCATGTCATCTTCATCCCGAGGGAGAAGCTCTCGGAAACGTCGAAGCTCTAGGCGGAGCCACCATTCCAAATCTCGCTCACCATCTTCTCATTCGACGGACTCAGAACGCTCCCCTAGGCGGAGACGATCGCGAAGGTCGGCTTCTCAGCGTCGTGACTCGTTTGAAAAGGCTCAAAATGATCTTCCCCAATGCGATCACCCATGCCTACAGTGTGAAAAGCCTCAGAAATCAGTTTCCTGTGAGTCATTCCTACTCTTACTCAAGTTTATGTGAATAAATTGAAGCAACATTTGAGTTGCGCAACCCGAATCGACGATAGCTCAGCGACGAGGAGTTTTGAAGAAGACATCCCAATACGACACACCGACGGAGCAGCCTGAAGTGTGAGTTTCCAGTCCGATAAAGCAGCCTTGAGCGCTCATGTACTTGAAGATGGGGTTGTTTTGTTGCACCTGGAACTGATCTTGGAAAGGGAAGAATTTCGTCATGAAGCGTTCAGAGATGGCAATTGTACGTGCGATTAGGCGACTAGGCGAGTAGCCAAGGCGAATAGGCGATTAGGTGGAAAAGACTACATGCGTATTGCTGTTTGCTCCACCCACAGACGTTGTAGGCGTGTAGGCGAGTAGGCGAGTAGGCGATTAGGCGATCGCTTGATGGGCGGAGCAACAAATCAATACGTATCCTTCCCTATCGCCTACTCGCCTACTCGCCTAATCGCCTAATCGATACGTATACTTTTCTTTTTGAATCATCGCCTAATCCTAATCGCACGTACGATCGCCAAGTATGAATGCTCCATTATGGATGAAAAGTGGTGGTGCGTCCAGTCTCCCAACCTCCCTAAATCTTTTTCCCAAAAGGGAGCCTTAATAACCCTTCGACCCCCCCCCCCTCCCAATGAGCGCCCAACCTTGCTGCAATAAGTCCTTTTTTAGATCCCTGCCGGAGAGAAGAGGAGCGAGAAGCAGACGACCAAGGCGGAACGCTATTAGATCTTCACGCCGTGGGAGGACTCACTCATTGCGATCGAGGACAAGGTCAAGAAGGGCATCATGCTGCAATTCAGCCAGACCAAAGCACATAGGGTATGCCCCATTAAGATCAGATGTAGATGTCGTTGCTCTCCATGATAGGCCATACAGACAAATAAGAGGTTATTTCCACGCTTCGTAACGGCGTCCAGGCAAGGCAAACGGTTTCATTGCGACTGTTGAGAAGTGTGTCATAGCCGTTCGTCTTGAGACTTCATTCAGTATGCACTGATTAGAACTGAATCATCATCAGTGTTTCAGACCCAAATTACTGAAGCAACCTTACCAAACTAGACGGCGCGACTAGGTAGCCTGTTCACTGTGTGCGATCAATATCCAGTTACAGCGCCAAGACGCTTCCGAGACACTCAAAATGGTTCTTAGATTCAAGGAAAAATGGGACTACTATATGTCTTGCGCCACCCTTGTATTACGTTGAACCACCAATCCACAGCGAATGCAGTATAAGAACTTACAAGCGCAACAATTCGTTTCTTGTTTGTTTCGGAAGAGGGTTTGGGCACTGAAGCTTATGACAAAGCAACCGTTTTGCAGAATATGGAGAGACAGAAGAGGACGACTTCGAGACGCTCTAGGGCGTTTCGCTCGAGAACAGTGCAACGAAAACATATAGCGACTAACAGCGCCACAAACTGATGTACTGATAAATATTTACAAACAAAAAAAGTAAATGAATGAAGATGGACAAATTGAAATGTTTACTGTTCTTATCATGCAGTATTAAACTGGACAAGCTCCAAAGTTTCAAAGATGCAGTTTGAAAATTGTGACAAAAGCTCTCTTAATAATGAATAAATTACAGCGATCACAGAGAAATTTGCACACGAGTCAATCTCCATTCAGGTTCTGTATTCATTTGCATAGAGCACTGTTCGTTTCTGTACTTGACCAGAAGTGTAAGGACCTTTTTCGAGGAGGCATCTCCACATTTTACCTCTAATCGTACACCGGCACGATGTCTTCTACGAAAAACGACGGTTCCGAGTCTGAAAAACAGCGCGTACGACCCACTGCTTGAACATCGGAACACACAACTGAACACATTGAGTTTTATCACAAAAAGTTTTGGGCAAAGCTTTCGCCCCAGCCGGAATCTTATCCGGATCCGATGCTTCCTAGAACATTTGCCCGGAAAGCAAGACAGCCGGGCACGAATCCCGCCTGAGGGCGGCGTCACAACTCGGCATTCCTGTGATAACTATAATAACGCGTACTGCGACGTAAAACAGCAGTTACCTAACAAAAATAAGTTGAAAATATCAAATCTAGTCAACTAACACGTCAGAAGTACTGCGTCGGTCGCTTTCCATATCATAAATGTCGGCGGTGTCATCAGAAGACGGAAGGCAGAGTTCAACCACAGGTGTGAGACATTCAATTTTTCCATCGTCGTTATCTGCCATTATGATCACCTGTAATCGCGCAAACAGGTAATGCTGAGATAGCCTTCAGAAAAGTAGTCAAAAATGCAAGAAGAACATGAGCAATTTTTCAATTCACTCATATTCCACCCCATTCTGGGCACAATCAGTCCTAGAGGATGGCCCCGCATATTACGATTGGATGTTACAAAATCAGGAAAAAAATCAGCAGAATATGTAGGAATGAAACCGTTAAACATGTCATTGGGTTAGAATATGCACGTTTAAATGCGATCCAAGATTTAGTCAAGTTGCACGCAGTTGAAGGCAAGGATCAGGATTAAATTGATGGGGTGATTCCACTCAAATGTGAAAGTGGGAGGTGGACCGCCAGTGGAGAAAAAAGGAAAGAAAATCCTGAAATACACAGGAAATACGAGCATTTTGCTCTATGCTGTGGAGAAGTTCAAAAGACGTATAACTTCGTATAATGTATGCTATACGAAGTTATTAACGAAAATATAAAACTAAAACAGCATTTTAGATTTATTTCTTACATGCACGGAAGGGTCAATCAAAAGAGATTTCCCTCCACATTTAAATGGATTCAATCACTTTATGAAACTCAAACCGAATGCTTCCAATTGAATATTGAATAGTTCCAATTGATGAAGAAAACTTCATGATGGACTTCTTATTTGCAAGACATCAGAAGAATTTCCCACGGAAACATGGTGTACGGGCCGAGCTCAATGGCTCCTCTATCGTGCACCCTTCCAGGGTTTTCTGATACGATGGTTGGAGAGGGTGTAATGGTCATACGTTAATGTTTATATGGAATTTCCAACAGCGAATCGATTCAAGAAATTATTGAAGAGCTTCAAGCTTGGACATTTACCGTAGGTCTCTTTGGGCTCGACGGCGACAACGGATGACGTCATATTCTGAAGACGGTGAGGGCAGTGAAGGACGGCCTGTGTCTACTTATCGAGGTACATATGGGGAATACTTTGATGTAGAAATTTGGCAATAGCTGGGAGGAAAAAATCGCTGGAGTGCAAAATGGGCAAAATGTCTTTCAACATCATGACTACTCGGCTATGTCGAGACATAAGATATAAGAAATTGGGGTACAATACAACATGGCATAGGCAAGTGAAATCAGGAAGGAATGGGAGGCAGTAACACCAAAAAGGTAGTTCTTATATTTAAAAACTCACATCAGCCTTCGAATTGCTTTCATTAGCCACGGTGAGAAGGACGGACCCAGCCTGGCCTTCACATAGCTCTGGTTCCCGTGAAAGGCGGATCTCTGGGACGAAATTACGAGCAAAATACTGGAATGAAAGAATATTTTCGCGGAAATCTTACAGTAAATGATTTCAGGCGCAGAAAATATCTGAAATTTTATATGACGTAATGCGTGGAGTGCATATTCAAGCTTGACCAAATATGATTGCCAATGCTTTGCAAACTAAGATCAGAAGTTGTCATTATTTGTCAAATGAACTAGTCCAAGAATATAAACGAAAAGGTTCTTCAGCCTTTGTGAAAATGTAGGGAAATTTTCCAACCGAACTGTCGCTGCTCAGGATCCTGACAGGAGTAGTGGCGACCGGCAGGAGCGCTGCCGAAGTACTTGGATTTCAAGGCGGTGACAGTCTCAGATTGAATCATCAATATAGGGGTCAGATCAAGTTCGGGAACTATAATCATAAGGTTTTTGTGACAAAAGCGTCAATATTGTTTTAGGTTGACTAGGAGCTCTCAGAGAAAGGTGCAACGGCAACTGTGGCAAAGGCTTCTCGAATGTTTTCTTGCGTTTCTGATAGATAGCTTGCAGCCCATAACGGTCTGTCAAGAGACTACCCACATTGTGAGATCTTCTAAAAAAAACTTTGGCAAAATACAATCGATTCAACTGGAGCAACACACCTTTTATTTAACTTCACTTGATCTCGTTGAGCCTTTTCTGCTGCAGCCAGAACACGCATCCTCTCCAAAACTTCACTGAGCTCTTTGTCCAAAGTACTTTCATGTCTAAATTAGCAACATCGAGCATTCGCTTTAAAAAGAATCATCGACATATATATTGACGTCGTTACATATTCATACACTCATTTTGCTGTGGAAATTAGATGTGGAGGGATCGCTTTGTTTAGTATAATTCGTGATGCAGATTTCTCCTATTGTTTCAAGATATTGATTGCAAAAAATTGTTACTCAAATTCGAAAAGAAGAGGGAAAAACTTAGATTTACATGTTTCCCTGTTGTCAAAGGAGCTACCTAATAAAATGCTCCCATGGCTTGTCGAAAAAGCTTCCTTAAAAAAGGATATCCTATGACACAGGAGTAGTGAGATTGGCCGATGTCAGACTTTGCGATTGGAGCGATTTTGCACCAATTGCAGGAGCGACGGATCGCTTGAGCGATGCGAGCGACGGGAGATTTACACCGCCGACCACCGATAATTCGGCGCCATCAGGTAAATCTCCCGTCGCTTGAGCGATCCGTCGCTCCTGCAATTGGTGCAAAATCGCTCCAATCGCAAAGTCTGACATCGGCCATTAGAAGATGCCAAGGTTCAAGAATACTCCCTGACCGTAACTCATTTGCCGGCTCTCAACAAATTCACTTATACACGATTGCAAACAACTTGTTCATAAGCTACTAAATAATTATATAACCAGGCTTAGTTTATCAGCCAATATTCAACTAGATCGGACACTTACAAAATACCACTGCAGACGCCAACTGCTGCCTCAGTACTCTAATACATCGAAAGTTTTTTTTTTGGATTTCTCTACCGACTTTCACTCCCACTGTTTCCAAACACTGCCTATTCCACAGTACAGCCAGACTGAATGTATTATATAAAGGAAAAAGGTGCTACCCGATACGATCGATGTTTAATCAGTGGAAAAGAAATGCGGCTGGAGCGTAGTTGAGGGAGGGAGGAGAGGCATCGCAGGTAACAGTTCCCCCCATTAAACAATAATCCGACTCTTTCGGGAGAGGAAATTTCGTAAAGGGTGAATCAGATCGCTTGTGCAAGAAAGGAATTGAGCGAGTATGAAGATAGATGTTGTCATCGTCTTCAATAAACTGACTGCTCTGTGCCCCTATGCCCTCTCTTCTCCTCAGTGCACTTGCACCAAAAGATGACAACCTTGAGAAAAAAGACTCGAGAAGTGATTCAATAATGAAATCGAACTCACACTGGCCAGTTTATGCTGGATGGCTGATCGGGTGTGCCTGAGTCTCTTGTTGACCATCGGCACGTTGAGCACATTAGATGGCAAGACTCGCCAACTGCTCTTGTTGTCAATACCATGGCTGAATAAGGTAGAAGTGTCATCAAAAAACCTAACTAATGAATTTTCAAACGAAGTAACATACACCTCGTGAAGAAGCAATCAAAGGATGAATTAACTGTCATATTATCTCACAGCATACTGGGCACTGATTGCAATTGATGCATCTATTCTTCTTCACTCGAGCTTCACCAGCTGGAATGTTCTCTAAGCAATTCGGGCAGAAGGTTGAATCGATTTCATTCAAACTGCAGGATATGCACCTAAAAAAGACTAAGATTGATTCAGCTAAGTCTTTAGTGAAAAAACCACGTTTGGAGATTCTGATGAACTGTCGACAAACCGAAGAATGGAGCAGTGACGACAAAAATAGAGGTTACAAAGAGGCCACCACTCCTCGCATCCACACTGGTAGAGCACCCGGTCCATTTGAAACAAAGAGGCCATCACTGCAATTGACTTAAAATATAGAAAAGCCCTCGCCCTTTCTTGGGACTCTCAAAACAATCACGACAAACACGATCAAAATTTCGTTTCACAATATTCAGTCAATAAACCCTGCCAAATTGAAGAAAAGAAGGCGCAATGTGGCTCGGGGGGGCAGTCGCCGCGCGCGATCTCTGCGTTTTTCTGTGTAAGCATTTCCTCTTCGCTAAATCGGGACTAAGTCTCGCCCACTGCGCCGAAAAGAAACATTAAATTGCGGAATGTTCGATGAATGACCACCACTCCCGTGAATGCGGATAAACCTTGGAACATTCTGCGGCGTAAAATAATGTACGGTGCCGCAGGTGGCACGATAAGTGCACACAAAGCGCGTCACC